GTACAGGTGCGGTACACCTGACAGCCTTGGGTGTGTGTTGCATGGCTCGCTATTGGTGGAAGTGCTCTACCCTTCCAAGGACTTTTAAGGGGCAAGCGCGGCACCTCCTACACTTGACCTCTGTTAACATTATGCATGATTTCGAGGAGTCCATTCATTCCATGACGGTAGCGAAGCTAAACGACCCTTACTACGTCCTGATGTCCAAAAATCCAAACTTTTGGTGATCTTTACGGTACAGTGGGCGAACTGTGAGGACACCTGTCGCGTAGAATACGCGGATTTGATACTTCTGCGCCGGAACAGGACTATTCATTACCCGATCCCAAGAGTAGCTCCAGGAAAAGCGGGAGGTACCCGTGACCGTGTTTCCAGCTATCACACATTCCAGGTGGTGCCCGGCTAAAGTGCAAAGCCAGCTGCAAACTTTAAAGGTTTTCGGGCGCGCCGATTGCAGCGGTCATTGGACTTTGGCTGGCGTATTAGGTTGATGCGGCCGCTTATGACAAACCACAACTCTAGATGACTCACGCATTGCCAAAGCTATGATCACCTCAATGGTTACGAGGTAAGCGTACAATTTCATCTACCTCACAGGCGGACTAGATGAGTCATTTGACAACAAACTTACTGGGCATTTTATTTTGTTCATTTTGAGGATATCAATGGACAAGAGTAATTGGAGCGGAGTAATGGCACAGTACAACACTTCCTTAAACGCAAGGTGGACGAAATGCAACACATACGAATAACATGTGACAAGATAAGTGCAATGCTCAACACGAGACATCCGACACAGGCATCACCGACTAGTTTCAGATGACGTCCTCTAAAATTATCAATCGGTAAAAAATGGAGATGGCACGTTACACAACGCAAATTACTTGGGCATCACACGGAACTGTTCTCATGTTATCTGGGCATCAATCATTTCAGCTTCTTAATGCTAAAAATGATCTCCCCGAACGTGCTCCAAGAAAAATATGCAGCTTGAAGACGCCGCTAAAAGAATTAAGTCGCGGACATTGGGACTTTTCTCCACTGGTAAAAGCTAACCAACTATGGCAGTAACTGTACGAACTGCACGAGATGACAAAAAGTACGGCTGAAAAAGTCCACGTAGCATGTTTTTAGATACCCTTGTTTCTGAAACACCATTCGCATTTCTACGATAACTGGGCGGATAAAAGTGCTGTACGAGCCCCAAAGATGCGGCTCGCCGACAGCCTCATGTACGTTAAAAAAACCGTGGCATCAACGAGATCATAGATATGCTGTCTGGTATGTCACCAGCAGCGTGACCAATGAGAGGGTTTTTTTCACCCCATACGTGTGGGGTGGAATTTCTTTCGCAAATGCAAAACAGGACTCCAGACCTGCACAGCGGGCGAACTCTGATATGAGGAGTGTTTGCTACACAGGAGAGGCTATAGAGCCCCTGTTTTTCCCCGGCATTATGAGTCATCGCATCATACTGAGGGAACATTGTATTGTAGTCGTCAGTCTGTGTGAAAAGTGACAATATCACCAACGTTTGCTTGATAACATCGTTTAACCAGGACCTGCTGGCATACTGAACACCCACTGCTGTCAGCATAATTATGCCGTGTTGAAGCATGATTTCACCCAGCAATCGATACTTAGCTGCAACGTACTTTATACTTCTTGCTAAGGAGCGTCGGTGCGCGACATGCTCATGTTTCATAAACCCATAATCGGGGGCAGAACTCGGAAAACCTAGGCCACGCCTTTTAGGCATTCTATCTCGCATGGCAGACGCTTGGGAACTTCATTACATTACCATTGCCTTCTCTACTTGGCGCTAGTGTTTATCAAAGGCGCATATCTCATATCTCATATCATATCTCGCACAGGCGCTGTGTTTATCAGTTGGGCGTGGAAAAAATACAGGCATAATTCCCTTTTACACTGGTATACTTATCTTCGACCGCAGTGACCCAAGCGCACGATAATTCTGCAATTAGCTCCATATGCGACGAAGACGTCAAAACATCTCGCACAAACGCTACAGCAGAGAAGCTCCAATAACTAATACGTCAAGCAGACGCCGGGATACATTAGCAAGATCCTCGGAGGGCCTGGATATTTCGAGCACTGCTCATGGTTGCGAGGAAACGTCGACAAAGCGATCCACCGGGTGAAAATAAAAAAGAAGGGAACGAACTGCGATAAGAAATAGATCCTAAACGCCCTGATGTGCTCTCAGCCCACATCCTGGTCGCTGCAGGTTCGGAAAACGCACATAAGCTATACGTCTGTCGGCTGCGTAAAAAGCACAACCACGCCAAAGTACGCTGCTTACACCAGCACTAAGTTACGATATGATGTTTTACTGATGCCGGTCAAAATAAAAGATAATGACAAATATTAAACCGATGCCTGCAAACAAACTAGAAGACACGATAACGTTGAAATTGTGGTTTTGATATGTACGATTAGCACGAGAACAGGTCGAGTATAATGACTACCATCGATGACTACGTGGATGAGACGAGTCACGTCGAGCATTGCACTTCCTTATCACAGCACACACGAGTAAATGCCATCGAAGGTCACATAGGCACGCCAGGAGTGCACAAGTTCTGATCGTTACGCGAATGGGCGGATGTAAACCTGCGTCTGTGTTGTGTGCGCTCAGCCAATGTAGTGATTCAGTTGTTCCGTTTGGGGGCACAAAGTAATACAACGCGATAGCAGTTTTGGAAATGGACAAGCGAACTCCATAGCCATCAATGCTTCTGAAAGGTAGCGTCATTGCCACACAATAAAATTTACCGTAACCGGACAGGCCGCAAGAGCTCCCACTTAGTAGAAGCCAAACGGTGAACAAAATTTTAGTCTCAAACAAGTACGCAGGGCATGTAACAAAGGGCGCTTTTAAACGAACCGGGCGGCCAGAACAGGTAGGCCTGTTGCTACAGACTTGCGCCGAGTGAAGAAAGTGAGGTAATGGCCCAGGGGCGATCTCGTTCCGTCTTCAGCTCTTCAGCCAGTTGGGGAGCGAGCATAGTGCCTGGTCGGGGTATTCTTCTCGTTCCTTTCTCTCTCTCTCCTCCATTCTTTGTCCTCACTCCGCGCAGATTACTCGCAGTTCTTCAGACGGCTACCACGTAAGGCCTTTAGTGCCACCAAAACCGCGCTCATTTTCAGCTGTGATTGCCTTCAAAGATGTTTGATTTTTGGTTTAAAAGGGAACGCGAGGCACGCGGTCACCCACCCTTTTACGGATCACTAGTGACCGCAAAGGCCATCTTAGCGTTCAGCAGCCATGACGCCATTGGGATCCGAGCCCGTCCCCTCCCCCTCTCCCATATGGGAGCCGAAGATGCTAACCACTCGGCCATTACGCCCCTTACGGGGCTTGATTGCGTTACACTCGTGGCAAACGTACTTTGCTGCTGGCAAGCAAAATAAATGAGAAATTTTGAGCCGCTTCGAACCCATTAGACCACACCTGCTCCTTCCAAACGGCATTACTTCTGCACGCTTGCCGGCTGACGAAATCTAGCATATTACGTCACCAAGCCATGAACGCATAGCCCACCCACAGCGCGCCCTCAACAGCTAGCGCCATATTGCTATGCAGTTCCTTGGTTAGCAGGAAACCAGGCTAGTGCTCTGGATTTGTTGACACATCTATGACGGACCAACTTTTTCAAGACAGTGAAGCGTGCCGGTTCGTGGGCAATCAACAGCTGATCATGACCAGGTCTGCGTTCCGCCGTCTTTCTTTGCATTCACGGATGCGACTTCTGACAATGTTCGCCCGAAGAAAATCGCCAAGCATTGGGTCACTCGTTTGGCAGACACGACGGCAGCCGTCGGACATGCGCGGTTCTGTGTCTGTGTGCCTGGTACTTTTGGAAAAGATGGCGCCAGGTTCGCCGTGCCGCCCGTGGTCGGCCGGCCCCGGCGACCCATGTGACCTTCGATGGTTCCCGACGCGCCGAGCAGCAGACGGTGTGGGACCAGCGGGGAGGAGGTGGCGTGTGTGGGCGGCCACCATTTCCACACACTTTTAACAGTTAACGGAGCTGACGAGCAACACCGGCCGTGGTGTTTGTGTTACGATTCGCCACGAGACAAACCGCCCGCCCGTAGGAGGACGGAACCCGTCCCGTTCTGTCCTCCTCCCTTGCAATATCGTCCCCCTTCCCCGCCCCATTCACGAAAGCCCGACAATTTCATCCATGCTCAAAGCCCATGCGTACCAAGCGACCACCTAGGCAAAACCCATTTACACGACCTGCTCATCCACCCGCCAGCATTCACACCCCGAATCCTGACCCCGCATCTATCCGACCCCCCAACTTCCCGACTTCTGCCGCGCTTGCTCCTTCAGCCTACCTAGCACGGCTCCCACAACCACCTGTCCAGCCCCTCAGCCCCACCTACTGCCCCACCATCCCAGCACCTGTCCAGTCACAGAACGAGATACCGCGCACGCCTTGACATAAAATCTAAGTAAGAGACCACTCATCTCGATTAGCCGTGGTCTGGGATGAGAGCGAACTACATAAGAACCAGCAAAGACAACCAACATGCGACAGCTAGGCGGTCACCCCAGGACTGTCCACAAACGTCCCGCCAAAAGCTCATGAGCCCGTCCCAGATAACATTAACAGCCCCCCCCCCTCTCCCCGTCTGACTCCGTGTGCAAGGACGCACCCATACCCGCCACCACCACTGGCCTCACGTCGGGCTCTCAGTATGACCTCCTCCCCCTGATCGTTCAACACACCACACACGGCCAGCGTCGCCCTCTGCAAGCGAGAACGGGGGCGGGGGGGGGGGGGGGGGGGGGGCGGGCGGCGGACAGCACCCGCCGCGCCAGACCGGGCCACGCCACACGTGCCGCTCGTGACGGCGCATCGGCGCGAGCGGGCCCCGGCCGGCCGGCCAGCCCACGGGGTCGGGTGGTCCACGTGTCTGCCGCTCGGCGCGCGCGGGACACGCTGACTGGCGGCGGCGGCGCCTACCTTGTGCGGAGCCGTCCTCGCCCAGCCGCTGCGAAGGTCCCGCTCCCAGCGCTCCCACTGAAACACGCCACAGCAGCGGTCAGACAACACTGCACTATGCACTTATATGTGTATATACATACATATATATATATATATATATATATATATATATACATTATATACATGTGTATACATATATACATATACATACATACATATGTACACACACATGGGGCTCTCTAGGGCTCGGTGTATGTATATATATATATATATATATATATATATATATATATATATATATGTATATATATACATATATATATATATATATATATATATATCTTACCAAAATATACATATGTATAAACATAAAAGCCTGTGTTCAATAAATTACACTTCATCTGAGCTGCCCCTTTAGGCTAGGACTAGAACTTGAACTTGTGGATTGCGCTGAGCACAAAAAAAAAAAAATGTTATGCATGACAGCAAATCAATTGTCACTTTTCCGGAAATGCTAATACTAGTGCCATCTGTGATGTACCATCTTCTAAGGTTGAGAAAATGCATCGCCTTTACAGCGCCACGCAACAGCCTTCCGTGACGACAAAAAGTTGTCATCGCCGGCGCTGAAATTCGAATCTGAATTTGCAGGGTATCGGTCCCTAAAAAAAATATCCACCCAAAACACGCAGGCACCTTAACGAGACTACGGTGCGGCCACTGTTGCCGTGTTGGCCCCCACTCACTGGCAGCGGCCGCGTCTCCGGCCATCAGCGAGTCGTGTCCGCTCATGGAGAGGTCCGGCTCGCCGTAGCTGCCCTCGTACTCGGCCACATAGCCGAGCGTGGCGTCCAGGCTGACGTCGTCGTCGTCCTCAGTCAGGTCCACCTTCTCCACCTTGACCATCTCTGACTGCGACGCGGCCGCCGGCGCCGGCGCGGGCGGCGGCGGCGGCGGGGCGTGCGCGACAGCGGCCGACTGCTGCTGCTGCTGCTGCGGCTGCTGCTGCTGCTGCTGCTGCTGGGGCTGCGGCGGCGGCGGCGGTGGAGCCACCGGCACCGGCAGCGGCGACGGCGCCGACTGGCTGGACGAAGATACGGGGCTGTCGGGCCTGCGCGGCGCCAGCTCAGGCGGCGGCGGCGGCAGCGGCGGCGGCGGGGGCGAGCGGGGCCGGCTCCGCCAGCGCGTCCGAGCCCGAGCCCGAGCCGCGCCGCCGCTTGGCCGGCGGCGTGCCGGTCCGGTGCGGCCGCGGCTCGCGCGGCGACGCCGGCGGCGCAGTCCCGGCCGTCCGCCGCGGCACTGGCGACGACTGCTGCCGGACGGACAGTCAGGCTGGGGTCAGAGTCGCAGAAACTTACCGACGACACCACCACTGAAAACACTTGAATCCATCCCAAATTAAAAACTAAGTTACGCCGTGAGCCAAGCCCCAATGTCTACCATGTTTAAGCTTCCCAATACTAGTTATTTTGTCCAGTTTTGGGGGCCTTCACCATCGCTGACACTGCAACCCACACTGCGCAGTCCAGACGAACTGTCAGGGCTCTGGGCCACTAAACAGAAGGCGGCGGGTGGGCCTGCACCTCACGAGCTCCAAGCAAATGCCAATGAGGACCCCAGGTACCTGCTACTGCGTCCCCACTCTCGCATGTGGAACTCTGATATCACTGTATGTCTATTTGACACCAGGTCCCAAGGATGCCTCACCTTTTCATCATCACCACTGAGGCCGCGGATCTGCAGCATTTCCGCCGTCTTGATGAAGCTGGCCAGCTGGCTCTGGGCCACGTTCACGCTGCCCTTGTACATGAACTCTATCACAGCACGTAGATCTGCTGCAGAGGTATCTTTCAAGAAGAAAACCATCTGCTGGCATGGATTGTTCTGCAAGCAGAATGGGTCCCTGTTATGCATTTTCTGACAACTTAGCTTTATTACATAGTTGTGATTCAACCTCCTGAAATTTTGAGGCCCCTTCCACAGAACACATGCATTGAAGAGACAATTCCAATGAGGTAATACATACGCTGATATTTAAAAATACATTCGAGACAATTCCAGTGAAGTGATAAATATGCTGACATTGGAGGCAGAGCACAAAGGTCTGCAGCTGGGTATGGTGTTTGGGCTAATGCTATGTGCCAGGCCTGTTGAGGCCTCTAAAATCAATACACCTTATCAACCCTATAAAGGGATGGACACTCAACAATCCTACAGGGAACTTACTTTTAGGAGATCCCTGAAGTATGGGCTGCATGCAGACAGCATCATTCTGTGTGCCCTGACTTTCTGGCCCTCACAGCACAAGGTGATGTCCACCAACTCCTCATCTTGTCGGAGGTGGTCAAACAGAGAGGTGACGCTGCTCTGGAACCCATCCCACTTGAGGCAGAACTTCTGACCATCCATCTTCCAGTCACACAGCTTCTGGTGAAGGCAGATGGGCACTGAACAGTGGGCAGCCTGTGGTCTGCAACCAAGTCCATGCCATGTTGTTTTATTTGGATTTATCACTGCAACATTGACTGAATAAAATTATAACCACCACACACTCCTATATCTTTAAGTTTTATCAGGAACTGCCCTGCCAAGATACCATACCACATGCCACCTTCAGTCATGTAATGCTGGGATGCTGTATTACATTATGTTTAGAAAACCCTAATGTGTGCCAACTTTTGACAACATTTTCCACCAAATCACCAAAGATCACACCAGTGATACAGCTGATTTTCCTTCAAGTGCATCATGGAACATGCAATTACATGATGCAACAGCTAACATTAACATATGCTCAAGTGGGGGTAAGTTTTACCCTCTACCAAAGGTTCTGCAGAGTGGGTTCCAAACAGTACAGCACAGCAGCAGCAAACTTTGCATGGCTGTAGACAATTGGTATTCAATACAATACTGATGGGTATTCAGCCAGTCACCTGGGCAGTGTTGGAAAACTTGATGTTTCCTGGTATAATGCATAGCAGGAGATTCTGTACTCCAGGATTGTGACTAGGTAAAACAACATATTTTGTACTCCATCATGATGCAACAAGAACAGCCTTTGGAAAGACTCATTTTACCCCTTTGTGTCAGGACCACAAAACAAAGCCAAAATGTGCAACAGCTTGAGACTTGCTGCTTCCATCAGGAGCCATGTACTGATATTTGCAGGAGCACAAATCTTGCACCCACCAGACTAAGATGCCCAACAGCAAGCAGCCTGTGTTGACACCTAGGTATATGATAAACCATGTATGGAAATGTGAAAAATAAAGCATGTCAATGTTGAATGGAATCGCCTTTGAACAATACCGGGAATGAGAAATAAGTACCAGTATTGCACCAGTCTGTAAATTAGCAAAGCTCTCATTTCCTATGCCCTATGCAAACCAACTCAAACTTGAACCAAGGATTTCCAAGGGTGCGACGAACATTCATAGAAAAAGGCACGCCCAATCGCCTATCGCATACGGCCGCCTACCCACCTGCCACCACTGTGTCATGGCAATGCAAATAATAGAATCACTCGCAATTCGGCGTCGGAAACGTCTCAACTATTCAGCGGCTTGCGCCCGCCTCCCAGCTCAGGTTGGAGGTTGAACATAGCAAAACTCTCCAATTGGTTTTAATGATTCACCTCCTTGCCTGATTTGTCAAGAGCATACATATTCTGCTTGTGCTCATGTCTTGAACAGATTTGTAAACATATGGAGGGAAGCTGTATAGAGGTGGCACCACGATTATGAAGAAGGACTTATTTGTACCCATCCAGAACTGCCATGAGGTTGGATTTTTGGCAACTTTCTGGTATCTGGGGCACAAAAATGTTACAGCAGCTGTGCATGTAAACAAAGTTAAATTTGTCACTTAAGGATGTGTAATTGCAGCTAGCAATTCAGGCTTTACAAAATGCCCTTTTAAGTTCAAAAACATAGCCAAATTTTTTTTGGAGACAACCACCTCACTCCGGCAAAAACACCACAACACCAGAGTAACATGAACCCACAACTTTGGCCTGGCAAATTAAGGAGAGGGGTTTATTAGGACAAAAATATAAGTTAGTTGCAACATAAATCATCATGTTTTACAACACTGGTTAAAGCGCATCAAAATATATTAATACATTGCATTAGCTGCTGGAGTCAGCTGAATGACTGACTCCAATCCCTTTTGGCTGGCCTACACAGGTCTGTCAGGCATTGCACTTGCACTGGCTCAGTAAATCGGTTAAGAGTGGTGCCTGTCTCCACTGTTTGGTTGGGACGTGCAGGGCCTTGCGTTAACTGGAAGTTGGAAGGAGGAGGGCATGAGTGCTTAACTGTTTTTAAAACCAGTTAGCTGGTGGAGTGAGAGTAACATGACTGTGGTGGAGCACGATCATGGTGGAACATGAGCATGTGGCGGTCTGTGGCGTGTTCATTTGTACTGTTTGTGTATCATTTTTCTATAATTGTGCATATTGTACCCACCCTCCATTTTGGAGGGTGTATAAACCTGGTGTGAACCCACTCTCAATTTAGGAGTGTATGTGTAATCAGAATGTGTAAATACTTCCCATTTTGGAGGGTGTATGCACAAAGTCTTCATAAACTGCAAACCTGTGTACATACATGCATAGTACAGGGTATGAAGCTGTGTTGTTTCAGTGTGCCATGTTTAATACTGATGTTTCCTTTCATTTAAAGTGCTTTTACATGAATTGCTGTGTATGAAAAGTGGCACTCTCACTGAGTACCACCCATTACACTGTTATCTCTCAAAGATAACCTACATAAAACTGCAATGACCCACAGCACTTGGAAAATGTTGTACTCCACTACAGAAAATTTGCACTGTGTTGCCAGAATTTTTTTGGAATTTCCAACACTGCACCTGGGTATGTTAAGCTCAGCAGTCATATGTGAAATGGCAAAATGTATGTACCTTATGGGATGGCATATTGCAGCAATGTGATAAGCCGCAACGAGCCAAAAAATCTCAATTTACACTCCAATGCAAATTTAGTGGCAAAAGCTTACCACGCAACATCTGTGTGGCTCGCCCCCGGCCCTTACCACCGCTGCTGACACTACTTAGAATCCCAGAGGCAAACAGCCAATACCAAAACCATCCCAAACCTGACCTGTAACTTGGGTGAATTGAGAGGCACGCACTCTAACCAGCAATCCAGCAGCACACACTTCATGAGCCAGGAAATTCTTACGGATATAAGCCTGGAATTTTAAGGAACATACATGTATGTTGTGTGTACAGAACATTATTTTTCCCTGCTTCAAAAGTAAAGCTAGTCCCATAGAACAATATCTGATAGCCACAGCACAGCTAAACATAGAGTAACTTGAGCACAGTGAGACATCTTAAATCCTCACAGAAAAAGTTGAAAAAGGCATTTTCACCATTTAACTGAGAAAGTTGAAAGAAAGCACTATAAGTCTGCAAATAATGTAGCCCTCCAGGTAATTTTTTACTTGGGTACCTGTATGGTCGACGGAGGGAAGAGCTACGCTAGCTGCAGGGTTTCGAGTATTGTCGTGCGGGGCAAAAGCTGTGAGGCATCAGCTAACATTGTGACGTCACTGAAAATGGTTTTGCATCGATCGGGATCGGGGTTCTCTCGGGCCGACTGAAGGCCATAAGGCTTTTGCTTGTGATATGGTGTCACTGGTATTCGGCTGGGTATGTGACGTCACTGGTCGTGAGTGTATAAGGCTCTTTTGGGTCCACTGAATGCCGTAATGCATCAGCTGGCCATGTGTCGTCACTGGTATTCGATTGAACATCAGGCGCGGCCGGCCTCGTTCCATCTTTACTTTTCGTACCTGTCTGCCGCAAGCATTTGCGTGCCGCATAAAGGTTTGACCGAATTACCCCAATGTGTGACGTCCCTAATCATCACTTCATACGAGTGCACTTAGGCCTCACGACCACGGTGTGTCGTGGTCCGCGAAGTATCACCGGATAGCGTGACGTCACTGGTATTCGAATAAAAACTGGGCGCAACAGGCCGTGCTTCATTTTTACCTTTGTACTTGTCTACTGCAAGCATTGGCGTGCTGGATGAAAGCTGCCGAACCACCTGAGTGTGTGACATCACTGGCCATGAGTTCCAACGGTGCTTTTCGGCCAACTGAAGACCACAAGGTGTCAGCTAACGACGTCACTGCTATACGACTGTAAGACGTCAATGGCCGTGGGTTTCCACGGGCCCTATAGGACCGACGAAATGCCGTTAGGCATCAGCTGGCGATATGACGTCACTGGTATTTGGCTGAACATCAGGCAACAGGCCATGCTCCATTTATACCTTTCGTACATGTCTGCTGCAAGTATTGGCGGATTTTTTGTGCGGCCAACTGAAGACCATAAAGCATCAGCTAACGATGTGACGTCGCTGGCACTCGACTGTGCGTGTCGCTGGTCATGAGGTTTTACGGCCTCTTTTGGGGCGACGAAAGGTCATACGGCAATGACTGAAGATGTGACGTCACTGGTATTCGAATGAACTTCGGGCGCGACAGACCATGTTCCACCTTTATCTTTGGTACCTGTCCATTGCAAGCATTGCCGTGGAAGGCTCTGCCAAATTACCTAAGTGTGTACGTCACTGACCATTAATTTGCACACTCTTTTGAGCCTACTATAGGCCACAAGGCATCAGCTGACGATATGATGTCACTGGGTTTCGACTAGACATCATGCGCAACAGGCCATGCTCCATCTAAGCCATATTTCGTCTGTACCTTTCGCACCTATCTACTGCAAGTATTCGCGCGACACAGGGGCTCTGCCGAATTACCTGAGCGTGTGGTGTAACTAGTTATGAGTTAACGCGGGTTTACTCTGGCTGACTGAAGGACATCAAGCACCAGCTGACGATATGACGTCACTGGTATTCGACTAAACTTCAGGCGCGACAGGCCATGTTCCATCTTTACCTTTCGTACCTGTCTCTTGGAAGTATGGGCGTGCTGAATGAAGGCTCTGTCGAGTCTCCTGAGTAAGTAACGTCACTGGTCAAGAGCTTTTTACGGGACCTTTTGTACCCCCAAACGGTATAATGCATCAGCTGATGATATGACGTCACTGGTGTCCGACTTAACATCAGGCGCGACAGGCCATGTTCTATCTTTACCTTTCGTACCCGTCTATTACAAGTATTGACGTGCTGAATGAAGGCTCTGTCGAGTCTCCTGGGTGTGTAACGTTACTGGTCATGAGTTTTTTCTGGCTCCTTGGAACCCTCTATAGGGAAAAATGCATCAGTTGACGACATGATGTCAATGGTGTTCGACTTAACATGAGGCGTAACAGGTCATGTTCCATCTTTGCCTTTCGTACCTGTAAAGTATTGGTGCGTTAAATGATGGCTCTGCCGAGTCACCTGAGTGTGCGACGTCACTGGTCATGAATTTTTACCAACTATTTTTGGCTGAGCGAAAGCCATAAGGCATCAGCTAACGAAATGACGTCATTGGTAATCCACTGAGTGTGTGACGTCACTGGTCATGAGCTTTTACGGGCCTTTTTTGGCCGAGTTCAGGTCATTAGGCATCAGATAACGTTATGGCGTCACTTGTATTCGAATTAACATCAGTTGCAATAAGCCATGTTTCATCTTTACCTTTCGCACCTGCCTACTGCAAGTATTCGTGCGCTACAAAAAGGCTCTGTCGATTCGCCTGAGCGTGTGGTGTAACTGGCCATGAGTTTGTGCAGGTCTACTCGGGCTGACTGACGGACATCAAGCATCAGCTGACGATATGACGTCACTGGTAATCGACTAAACTCCAGACGAATCATCTGAGTGGGTGACGTCGCTGGTCATGAGTTCATACGGATTCACTTGGGCCGCCCAAGGCTACAAAGCAACACCTCCCGTGAAGCATCACAGGATGATATGTCGTCACTGTTATTCGACGTAACATCAGGTCCAACATGCCACTACTTTCTTTACCTTTTGTACTTGTTTATTAAAGGTATTGACGTGCTGAATGAAGGCTCCGTCGAATCTCCTGAGTGTGTGACGTCACTGGTCACGAGTTTTTTACGGGCTCCTTTGAACCCATTTTAGGTTATAATTCATCAGCTGACGACATGACGTTACTGGTGCTCGACTAAACATCAGGCGCAACAGGTCATGCTCCATATTTGCCTTTCGTACCTGGCTGCTACAAATATTCGCGTGCTATATGAAGGCTCCGCCGAATCATCTGAGTATGTGACGCCACTGATCATCAGTTGGTAGGAGGTCACTTGGCCACCTACGGCTACGGAGTTCCGCAGCAGAGGTGGGAGATGCACCATAGTTAAGCACACTAATTTTATTGTGCGCACCATTAAGTAACAACTTCAAACGCAACGGGCTGTTTCAACGACTAAAATTTTGAACAAACGTAAACACAAAACAAAGGTGATCCCAGCCCACAAACCGACGTATATGCAAAGCTATTCCGCCCGACATCACAGGATGCGCCCCTGAGCAGCTACGGTCCGGAATGCCCTGATGGCTAAATAATAATCAAGGGCGCCGCCTAGCGGCCATAAGTCTGGGCCACAGCCCGAATATCAGTGACGTCATATGGTCAGGTGATGCTTGATGTCCTTCAGTCAGCCCGAGTAAGCCCGCGTAAACTCATGACCAGTTACACCACATGCTCAGGTGATTCGGCAGAGCCTTTATGTAGCGCGCGAATACTTGCAGTATAGAGGTGCGAAAGGCAAAGATGGAACATGACCTGTTGCGCCTGAGATTAAGTCAAATACCAGTGATGTCATATCGTCAACTGATGTCTCGTACCCTATAGGTACAAAAAAGCAGCCCGTAAAGAACTCATGACCAGTGACATTACACACTCAGGAGATTTCACAGAGCTTTCCTTAAGCATGTCAATGCTTACAATAGACAGGTACGAAAGGTAAAGACGAACATGGCCTGTCGCGCCTGGTGTTAAGTTGAATACCAGTGACGTCACATCGCCAGATGATGCTTGATGTCCTTCAGTCAGCCCGGGTAAACCCGCGTAAACTCATAACCAGTCACACCACACGCTCAGGTGATTGGGCAGAGCCTTTATGTGGCGCGCGAATACTTGCAGTAGATAGGTGCGGAAGGTAAAGATGAAACATGACATATTGTATCTGATGCTTAATTGAATACCAGTGACGTCATATCGTTACCTGATGCCTAATGGCCTTAAGTCGGCCCAAAAAGGCGCGGGAAAACTCATGACCAATGGCGTCACACACTTAGTGGATTACCAGTGACGACATATCGTTAGATGATGCCTTATGGCTTTCCCGGCCAACAATAGCCTGTAAAAACTCATGATGACGCACTCAGGTGATTCGGCAGAGCCATCATTAGGCTCGCCAATACTTTAACAGGTGCGAAAGGCAAAGATGGAACATGACATGTTGTGCCTGATGCTAAGTCGAACACCAGTGACATCATATCGTCAACTGAAGCATTATACCATATAGGGGGTTGAAAAGAGCCCGTAAGAACTCTTAACCAATGACGTGATATAACACGCGAATGCTTGCAGTAGACAGGTACGAAAGGTAAAGATGGAACATGGCCTGTTGAGCCTGATGTTGAGTCGAATACCAGTGACGTCATATCATCCCGCGATGCTTTACAGGATATGATGCTTTGTTGCATTGGGCTGCCCAAGTGAACCTGTATAAACTCATGACCAGTGACGTCACGCACTCAGATGGTTCAGCATCACCTTGATATAGCACGCGAATGCTTGCAGTAAACAGGTACGAAAGGCAAAGATAGAGCATGGCCTGTTGCGCATGACACCTAGACGAAAACCGGTGACGTCATATGGTCAGCTGATGTGGTATGGCTTACAGTGGGTTCAAAACAGTCTATACAAATTAATGGTTAGTGACGTTACACACTCAGGTAATTCGGCAGACCCTTCCTTCAGCATTCAAATACTTGCAATGGACAGGTACCAAAGGTAAAGATGGAGCATGGCCATGGCTGCCTGAATTGTATTCGGATACCAGTGACGGCACATCTTCAGTTAATGTAGTATGACCTTTCGTCGGCCCAAAAGAGGCCGTAAAATCTGATCACAAGTGACATCACACACAGTCGAATGCCAGTGACGTCACATCATTAGGCTATGCTTTACGGCCCTCAGTTGGCCCCCAAAGATCCATAAAAATGCATGACCAGTGACGTCACACACTCACGTGATTTGGTAGCTTTTATTCATCACGCCAGTGCTTGCAGTAGACAGGTACGAAGCTAAAAATGAACCTTGACCTGTTGCGACCAATATTTAGTCGAATATCACTGACGTCACGATACCCAGTGATATTTCACGGAACATGAAACACCGCGGCCGTGGGGCCTAAGTGCACTCGTATCAAGTGGTGATTGGTGACGTCACACATTCAGGTGATTCGGTCAAGCTTTTATTCGGCACGCAAATGCTTGCAGCAGACAGGTACGAAAGGTAAAGATGGAATAAGGCCCGTTGCGCCTGATGTTTCATTGAATACCAGCGACGACATGTCGTCAGGTGATGCTTTACGGCATTCATTGCACCCAAAAGAGCCCTAAAGCCTCACAACCAGTGACGTCACATATCCAGTCGAATACCAGTGACATCATATCGCTAGCAAATGCCTTGTAGCCTTCAGTCGGCCCAAAAGAACCCAGATCGATGCAAACCCATTTTCAGTGACGTCACTACGTCGGCTGATACCTAACAGCATTTCTCCATCATGGCAGTACAGGAACCCTGCAGCCAGCGTAGCTCTCTCCCCACCGTCGGCAATACAGGTACCCAAGTAAAAAAAAGCCGCCCTCCAAACCTCACAGCTTCATCACACATCTTGCTGACTTGGAGCTGTAGGGTGGGTAGGTTATTTTAGGTAACCTACAACAAATTCTTGAGAGAAAGCATCTAAATTCTAAAGCCACAATACGAGCTGCCAAAATACAGAGCTCAAAACAGCTAAAATTATTACCATCATAACTAAACCTGGTGCTGGAACGTTTAGCGTAACCCAAAGCTTCTGCTGCATACCATTATGAGGACCGCTTTGCATCGCTGGGGTTTCGTCACCCTAGGACATTTTACCTATGTAGGGTTTTGGGTAGCATCATCTTCCACCTCAACTAGTGCACTTAGAATAGCTTTATCCTGATTCAGATATAATTTGGCGACTCCCTTAAGGGGTAAAAACAAATTTCAGACCACGGACAAAGCGACGGCGAACAGCGACCTTCCCCAAACGGCCGATACTCGCAGACCACGTTGTAACCTAACCAGCGCAGCTGACGTTTCTGCTCATGTATAACTAACTAATCGAACCAAAATGACAAGTACCCGCCTGATGCCCACAAAGTCAACTCACCTAAAATGTAAAACAGCGGTCCGCTCAACGCATTCACGCAACTCCCCATCACACCCGCTACTTTCAAGATGGCGGGGCGCGAGCGTCTCTGCGAGCGTCTGTGGTCAAAGAAACGACGTAACCAATTGCTTATATGTTTCCCTGCAGCCAAACTGACGTTGCATTGTTGTTAGCCAGTGCGACAAGTCGACATAAGAGTTAACAAATGCAAACCCATACAGCATCCTCGAGTGTGTTGAGCACCATAATAAACTCTGATTATTTTAGTGTCTTTTTTATGAAATTGTCCTAGCATTCTAGAAACGCCGGCTGCAAGGGCGGATCAAGAAAATGGGAATGGGGGGGGGGGGGGGGGGGCAGCCGGATGATGCCATGAGCCTAAGTGATGCTTAAGTTGTGTCTGACATGAAAGGGCATTGTGTTTAAAAAAATTTAGGCACCTTTGGTCCTTTGGGATTTTGCCAGCCACACACACTTCACCGGTGTCGCTCTCTCATCCAAGCAGCTGAATTCTTGATCCGCCCTTACTGGGGCCTGAGCCTTTTATGTCGGTATGGATAAAAGAGAGGCCGGACATTGCATCGAGCGGGCAGTGAATGTAGGGGGCACCCGCCGCTCCCCCCCCCCCCCATCCCCGCACAAGTGCCAATTGTAAGGCCGATGGACTGGCCTAAGGCTGTACGAAGGGACCCGGCCCGCATGGTCGGGACCCCAGAATGTCAGTGACAGAGAGAGCCTCCTGCGCCCGTCGACAGGCGACATGGGACAATAAGAGCTTCTTTGCACTTCAGAGAGCACCAATACCGAACAACTGGTTCGCCTGGGGGACCGTTTCTCACTTAGGGGTATGACCGGGCCAGTGAATGTCAGTCCGAAGGCTCCGAACATTGGTCGGGCCGCTGATGCAATGATGGGGATGTGTCGTTGAAAAGGCCCTCAAGGCGTAACAGGGGCCCTGAGTCGGCCATCGGTCCACTTTCTGAGGAAGCACAGGAACGGCACCCCACATGTCGGACAACCTTCCGTGTTGGTCGGGGCTCTCTGGGAATGGATGAAGGTATAGTGAATGGCAACGGAGGGCTCGTTATGAGACAATAGGCGAGCTCTGTGTCAGTCAGTGGTGTCCAGCAACAAGCCCTCCGACTGTTTTCGGCCAAAAGCCAAACCGGTGTCCATATCACACTTCTTGGAGTATTAGTAGACCACTCGTAACCGGTAAGCCGGCATGTGCCTGGACCCCACCCTCCAAAAAATTCTAGGACCCGATTCCGGGATCCTAAAAATGTGGAGACCAATGAGATTTTGAATCCGCCCTTGGGATCCAGGCGCATGTCCGCTAGTTAGGGTTCCTTTCGTGTCATTTGTACACGGCTGAGGCGCCGCCCGTCAGCCGCAAGGCAATCACTGACGCCTCGCACGCTGGAGGCTTTTGCAGTCCACAAATCAGCTCCACTTTCTCAAGCCAGTCCACCACATCTGCATCACTCGCACCGCTGAACTCTGGTATCAGTCTGACATCAAATCCGGTCACCATTTTGCCGAAATAGCTTGCAATGAGACACCAAGTGTTTCACTTGAACTTCTCTGTATTTTAGTCTCGCACCACAGCACCCCCTGACGGTGCACCCACCCTCTCTGCTCTCCCCACGGCGACTGTCGGCAGCAGGGGCAGCGAGCCGGGGCCGTGCGAACTGCGGCGACGGCGCGCATCTGCCGCGCAGCCGGGGCCGGCATGGGCGGCGCGCATCTCCCGCGCAGCCGGAGCCGGCCTGCGAACCGGACCATCTGCCGCGCCCCGCCCCAGCAGGGGCACAGGACACAAAGAACAACTGCACTACAAACGATATGAAACCACAGGAAACATTTAAATGGTCAATTAAACAGACTGCACTTCAATGTTTTCAGTTGGATGACTCAGAAGTTTGACCCAAGTTGACCTCAGGTGACCTCTAGGTCAGCCTAAGAGGAGATTTTTGTGTTTAGGATGCTTTTTTACCACAGCCGTACCAAACGAAATACACTAAGAAGCATATCATAGAAAAAAATATGTTGTAATAAGCTGTTGGCAGAGCAATTCTGAAGGGTGACCTTACCTGTCTTAATCCTTCTGGGCGAACAAAAATGGTCGGAATGGACTCCCACACCTTTAACGGTTGCCTATGGCCCTCGATGTCTGTCGTGAGGCATGAACATATTTTTTAACAGCGTCTACCAGGACGACCGTGTCTTTTTTCGTTGGGTCGGGTGACCTTACATTTGACTGAAAGTAAAAACTGTGTCTGTCTTTCAAAATTTAGCGAGACCTTCACAACGATGCCTTTGTTTTCATCGTGCGACGTCTGGAGGTTGGAAATCCCAGGTTGGGGGGGGGGGGGGAAGTCAACTACCCTGGCCTTGTGCGGTTGTCTCGGACCCACGGCCGGGCGCAAGTTAACATTGGCGCCCTTATCATCCTTCTGGTGCCTCCCGATAGACAAAAACGCAGAAAAAGACAACTTTGTGCCTCATAAGCTCGTGAACTCCGTCGAGCTGCGCCTAACAAATCCGCATCGTCTTTAAATTCCAGATCTGACCAGACAAGAGAAATACTTTATTTTTATTTTTGCCAGTTCTCGTCATTGTGTCGGCACACGACAGCACACGATTAAGTTGAAAGCGTGAGACAGTTTCCAGCAGTAAAGTCCCACTTGACTGCCAATGCGCGGGTACGTCTCAATCCCATCTTCACTCGAGCAGAGCCTCGCGGGCTCGGCGGGTGCTGTTATGGTGAGAGATCGATAGCCCGGCGAGTGCTCACCGGGTTGCTGCGCGAGGCCCGAAGAGGCCCAGCAAGCCCCACCGAGTGGGGAATAATCGGCTAGCCCAAAATCGAAGCACCATCCGATCAAGAAGCACAAGTTCGACTCTGCTGCTGCTTTTGACAAGTAACATTTAAATGACCTTTGACAAATGGACTCTCAAAATTGATCTCCCAAGGTCACCCAGCCATCTATGACACGATCCAACGTCAATCAAATGCTGCTATTTCATTAACCATGCGGGAATCAAAGCCAATAGAAATATAATCGTCGATTCGTTTAGACTTGGCGTTCATGAGCACAATTTCGAAACATAACGGCGCTCAATTGGCCCTCATCCAATGTTGTGCATTGCACGGTGACGCGATCAGGCGATGACGTGTGGGAGAGGATATTTATTAAACAGAGAAATTGTGTTGTTTAGAGCGGTCTCTCCTACTTAAAAGTATACCATGAGTTACAGGTAAGCTTATGTCATTATGTCTTATGTTTGCGTAGATATGTTCACGCGCAGAACATTATCCTAAAAAGCAGTCGACAGGGCAGAGCGTGGCGGCTTCGTGGAGGAGCTGGATTATAAAGAGCTTGATATGGAACTTGACATGAAGCTGGATATGAAATACAGTATTTCGATTGATTGCGGTTCAGGGCCTGGCTGGGGCACGTTCTCAAACCATCCATGACAGGGGCGCTCCAACACTTCCTGTGACTCCTGGAGTGATCTGAGCAGCGATCTTGTTCGACTCTGCTGTTGCTTTTGACCAATGAACTCCGACCCCTCATCTCGTCTTTGGGAAGCATGTGATATATGCATGTGATGCACGGTGCACGGCCACGCACATTGCAAGGCAAGCGCAAATTCTTTTGGCGGCGTAACAGCCGCTTCACAGATTCAACATGTCAATTGATCTTGCAATGACCGGCCCCTTTAATAATTGGCTTGATGTCCAAGCATAACAGCTCTGTCATTTTTGTGCACTCCTCACTACGTGAGGGTGTAGAATATAAAAATGACTGTGTTAAATGGTCCTAATACCATATGGGAAGCGCAAAAGCATTGCATCGCGACAAAGACAGCGTTGTATTGGATGCATTGAGATAGAACTAAACAATTTCTGCCCCGTGCATTGCGGCGATTCCTGCGTTTTGTTGCCTTTCCCGTGGTGATTGCACTTACAAAGCAGCGGGTAGACACTTTCAAACACAGCGTAAGTGTACATGAAAATAGCGTTTGGGTTTAGAAGTGAGATACTACGTACAGGCGACACGAGATTTCATTTTAAGTAATGTTTCGGAGGATGTGATATTATGGTAATAAAGTCAAATTCAGAAAGGGTTTTTTCACAACATGCGAGCCCTTTTCCAAGAAGCTTATCACCCGCATTTGCGTAGTATGCGTATATGGACAAGGTTCTTTTTAAGAAACTGATCTGAGGTCCCCATACACGCTCCTCACTTAAGATAAAAAACGGACAGCTAGAGACAAGGCTATCGCTATACAAAGCATCTCAGGTAATTTATGCTTAAATAGGATATTTCCAAGAGGTTATTGGTCATGACAGGTGAAGCGGTATCAGGTCACGACATTATTGAGATAAGTGGAAGCCAATGAATAGATCGGGCCAGAAACAAACCTTTCCCCCATAAACAAGTTTGAAGGATTAGCGATCTTACAAGCTGCATGCACTTTTAAGTAGTCGTTTCAAAATGATTTCGACGAATTTTTTCAGCTAGTTACAAACCTTTTAAATATCCTTCCCACGTGATCCTTCAGAAGTGCCTAAGGATTTGGTTCGTACGCCGGCCACCAGCTCGAGGTAAAACGTGTTGGCATTTGTTTAAGGCATTCAATCACCCCATGCATCACCTTCCCTCAAAAACTGAGGACCCGTCGGTTTTAACGCTAGGGACCCGTCGATCTGGCAGGAAGTGCACCGAATGGCGCTTGACCTTTGCCCATTCCCCATTCTCCATTCCCATTTCCCCATTTCCCCATTCTGAGTAATCCCCATTCTGAGTAGGTACCGCCCGGGGATTGATCTGGTCAGAGCCGGGAAATCCGGGCGGCACAGGACCGGCCTCGCTGCGACTTCCCGCTATCTCGGACGCGGTAGAGTCGGGCGCTGTTCTCCACGCGTCGCTGACTCACCGCCAGTGGCGTGGTGCAGCCACTCGCCGCTGTTTATCAGCTGTCCGGGCAGCTCATTGGCCGATGAGGTCAGCGGGGATTCCCGAAGCGGTGCGCAGAACAAAGCCCGCTGACTCAGCGTCCGACTCTGTCGCGGACTGGGTGCGGTGTGGCTGGGTGTGCAGTGTGGCGTATGAGAGCGGTGGTACGGTCAGCGCTGCGCCGCTCTGCCCGGTGTTGTACGCCTGCGTGGAGCCGACAGTCTACTCTCTCGCTCACTGTCACAGCGGACGTGCACTGCACAGCTTTGTCTTCTGTTTAGTGGGGCTGTGCGGCGTAAGACATCGCGGTGATGGAGTGCCCAGTGAAGCTGTTCGACGTAGACGATGACAGCGGCAAGCTCGTGCTGCAAGAGGCGGCGCTGCAAGAGGTGCTGCTGGCAGATGACGTCAGAGACGCGCCTGTTATCCCCGTGTCCGTGACGGGGCCTTTCCGCAAGGGCAAGTCGTCGCTGTTGAACGTGTTGCTGCGCTTCCTGCGCGCTGGCGGCGGTGACGGCAACGAAGGCGGCGACGGCGGTGACGGTGCCTGGCTGGACGCGGACGACGCGACGTCGCCGGGTTTCCCCTGCCGCGGCGGCCGGCACCCGGTCACCCGTGGCATCGACATTTGGCCGCAGCCGTTGCCGGTCACACTGGCCTCGGGTCAGCCGGCGTTCGTGCTGCTACTCGACTCACAGGGTGCTTTCGACGCCGAGTCGACGCAGCACGAGAGCGTTACGGTGCGCGCGCTGGTCGGCCTGCTGAGCGCCGTGCAGGTGGTGCACGTGTCGCGCCAGCTTCAGGCGGACGACCTGGCCCAGCTGCGACTCTGCGCCGAGTACGGCCGGCTGATAGCGGCGGCCGCCGGCCGGCCGGCTCGCCTCCAGCGGCTCGTCATGCTCGTGCGCGACTGGGCGTTCCCGGATGACGCGCCGTACGGGCACGACGGCGGACGCCAGGTGCTCGAGCACTGGCTACGGGGCGACGGTGCCGACGCGGCGGACGACGAAGGGGACCTGGCCGCGACCGTGGAGCGGCTGGAGTGTTTCCTGCTGCCGCGACCGGACCTGGCGGCGATCGCCGGTGCCGAGGCTGGCGACGATGTCGGGCAGCCGGCTGTCGAGTTCCGCACCCAGCTGTGCCGCCTGATGCCGTGGCTGGTGGGGCCCGCGCAAGCGGAGCCGCGCCAGCTGGAGGGCCAGTCACTGACCGGCGCAGACCTAGCCGCTCTCTGCCGCCAGCTGGCCGCCGCTGCCGACGCGCCGCCGCCGCCGGAGAGCGCGGGCGACGCGCTGGCCGAGGAGGCCAGGCGGCGGGCCGAGGAGGCGGCACTGCGGACGTACCGCGCCCGGCTGGAGGAGAGCACGGCCGCCGACCAGCCGCTGACCGACGAGGCCCTGGCGGCGGCGCACCGAGCCGCCGAGCAGGAGGCGCGCCACCAGCTGACGGCGGCTGGCCGCCACACCGACGGGCAGACGCCCCCGCGGCTGGCCGCCGCGCTCCAAGAGCAGCTGGAGCGCATCCGACTGCTGAACGAGCAGAAGCGGGCCCTGAGCGAGGCGCGCGCCGACCGCAGCCACGCCGACCTGGCAGCGGCTGGGCTTAGTCTGTACGAGGCGGCGATGCTGCGCGCACTGCCCGAGTCCGGACCGAGCGTCAGCGACGAAGCACTGCTGGCCGGCCACGACGCCGGCGTGCGCAGCGCGCTGGAGCACTACGAGGCCGGCCACGACCCGGCAACGGCGGCCGCCGAGCGGCGGCGGCAGAGCCTGCAGGAGGAGCTGACACAGCGTCTGGCGGCAGCGCGACACAGGAACAGCACGCTCCGGCAGCGGGAGGAGGCCGCCGCTGCCGCAGCAGCAGCAGCCGCCCTGCAGCACGCGCAGGCGCACTACGAGCGCCAGATGGCACCGGCCGCCGGCCGGGAGGAGCCGGTCGTGCTACAGGCGCACGCTGGCGCGGCGGATGCGGCGCGGGCGCTGGCTGGCGACTCGCAAGACCTGACGCACTGGTTGACGACGCAGCTGGAGCGGCGGCTGGAGGAGGCCCGCCAGCGGCAGCGGCAGCAGCAGGAGCTGCAGGCAGCGCAGGCGGCGCAGGCCGCTGCCGCGGAAGAGGCCAGAGTCGCGGCGGAGCGGAGACCTAACCACCGCCATGTTCGAATTGTTGGAGTCAAAGTTCGAGTTCCTCGTATCCGCTTCTAACGATATGCATATCATCCTCCTTGTTTAAGATTAGTAGAGCCAGCTTGTCATCGGCAGTCACCTGCAAGCTTGAGAACCTCTTTGTGAAAAAACAGCTTACAAAAAGATGTATAAACTTAAGTATTATATGAACAAACAACTCAAGCTGGTATCGATGAGCATGTCAATAAACTGTTGAAGGCTAGCTGTTAAGCTCATGTATTAGAGTTACGTGGCGTGTGTAGTCCTATATATTTCAATTTGATTTAACAACACCATTGCTGCCACATATTAAATTCCGATAAAATTATTTCTGTAAGTATTAGAAAGTTCTGCTTCAATGTTACCTGATGGCTATCTTGGTACACTCAGAGTTCAGAGCGTGTTTCCAGCAATATGATCAGGCCCTTGCCATCCCTTCATCCCCAGCGCCTGTTTCACTGATGTCATCAACTCTTGTCCAATCAGACGACGCCTGCGCATCTGGTGGCGCGGCTTTCAAACCAACATCACGGGCAAACTGTGCCGTAACGGAACCATGTTCATTAGTGCTGAAATCGCTGGATGATCGCATCTGGTCGAAAAGGCTTCAAAGATCATACAAGACGAAAACATGAAGTTCAGCACTAAACATTTGTGTCGAAGACGTTTCAGTTTGTCAAAGGCACTTGGCAGTCAGGACATTCGAAGACCTACATGACGGACAGAGCATGCGTGTGCCAAGTCCTTTAGTCCTCATTGTTTTTCCACCTGGATGATCCCGCAATGTGAGCTACCGCAGCACGGATGTGACTGTAGTTAGAATTAATACGCAAATCGCAAAGCGCTGTTTTGCTTCCTGGTTTTCCATGACCCGCAAATCAAAACGTTACAAACTTAGATTACCTCAAAGCTTCTACAACATGGATCAAACACGGCGACACTTCCGTTTATTCGTTGTACATTTCAGAAGGCCGTACAATGAGCACATCTCAGTCTAGTCTAGGTACTTGCATAACACCTAGGTGTTATTTATGCACGCATGAGTGCACCATTCACGCCATGGACGATATGACCAGAGGGTTGTTGTCTGCACACAAGCAGTAGCATAGTTTTGCAAAGTGAGTTGGGGCGCCCAACCGTGATCAAATTATGAAACCTGCCCTAAAACCCGCCAATAAACTGACGTTCCCGCATTTGATCCACGTTTTTTAAAGCTGGGGAAGGGGGCTGGAGCCCAAGTTGGGGGGCTGAAATCCCCCCCCCCCCGCCCAGCTGAATACCAAACTACACCCCTGCACACAATACATATCTCGTGACTACTTGAGAACAAGAAAAACAGGACCGCCTGCGGATATCACACGTCAAACTAGCAATGCAAGCAGAAGATGTGAGATCGAGCAAACAAGTGACACCACGCGGGCAACAGTGATCACGGGGCAAAAAGCATCTCACTTGCTCCGACATTGTAAGCGATTCTTTCTTTAATAAGTAAATGACATATAATCCACATGTTTTGAATTCTGTTTTATTAATGCGCTGAGTTCACAGTTCTGTTTTAGTTTAGTTCACAGTTCTGTTTTGTTGCATAATTCTGTTTTATTAATGCGCTGATAGATACTCACACACGCTGAAACCTACATCCACGCGTCTTCGTATATGGCGTATGCAGATAACTGAGCAAGAGACTCACAGTGAGAGACTCGCAGCGCGTGCGGATAATCCATTTTACTAGCATCGTCCACGCACCGATGACACCGTGTTCATGTGCCCTGGAATTCGCCAGTCTCTGACGACAGCCTGTCTCCACTGGTTACAACATTTAACGAGCGGAGTCAAGCAAAAACTATATAATTTCATTCCCTTGAAACGAGCAGAAAACTCAAAAGCCTTTTTTAACCAGAACCGTACGAACCACACGACTGTCAGCTCAAAGATTTTCGCAATGGCCGCCATGGAGGACAACGTGTGTCCATAAAATAACCACTACCGTATACGCATCTTTCGCGGTGCTCATGCCCAAGCCAAAGTCTTTCAGAACTATTGTATGGCGGCGAGAAGCCTGCCCGAAAAAGGTGACGAAAGGCTCGGGTGAACATGTCACTAACCTGTACCTGGCAATACACTTGGATGTCATTTCCTTCGATACACCCGTTCCCCCATCCACTCCGCCTCCCACTGCTCGGTCGGTTTATGATTTCAATTCTTCACAGGCGTGTCTCTTCACGACCGCGCTTCTCTTTTGCTGTGGCGGAGTTGGTGAGCTTGGTGACGCACTGAGCGCGTGCGGTGGCACGCGTTTTGTCGGCGACACTACGATACTTGCTCACCAGGAATGTGCTCCAGAGTTCTCGTCCGCTTCGCTCCCCGGCCACCATCATCACGAATATCACGAACCCTGGCGGTCACATTTCGGTCAGGCAGCAGGCCATGGAAGGACAGCTGCGCATGCGCTGTCCAGCCTCGCTCTCTGGCCACCATCATTACGAGTATCACGAACCCTGGCGGTCACATTTCGGCCAGGCAGCAGGCTATGGAAGGACAGCTGCGCATGCACTGTCCAGCTCACGTAGGAAATCCTGACACACTGCGCTCTGCTTAGATATGGGACGACGACAGAGAGAGGTCAGCCGAACACGGCGTCAGCACGTCATAGGTTGCAACACCAAATACGGAAACTACTCGGCGGATGCACCGTCGTACGCTTTAAACCGGGGTATATCCCTGAAGTCAATAGGAAATGACTCAAATCTTACGAAAAATGAATTCGGTGTATTTCTTTCCAGCGTATGAACATTACATCCGGGGAGGGAGTGCCGTGTCTCACCTTGAAACATGTTGCAGATGCAAAAGAGGATGGCGAAGAAGAATCGAGCCTCCCTGATGGCCATGAAGCCGAACACCCAGGGCAGGCCAAACAGCACGAAGATGACGAAAACCATGCGCAATCGGATGCGCGCCTGCCGCCGCTCCGACTGGTTGGTCCTCAGACCCTGCTGGCGGCCGCAGCTCAGCGAGTACACCACCATGCCGAACACAGCCGCGTTGAACGCAATTACGGCGAGAACAGGATAGGCGAACGCATCGTAGAAACTGTCGTAGTCTATCCAGCAGACGTCCGTGTCCCCCTCGTAACAGTCGGGTGCCACGAGGAACATGACGACCACCGGCACCAGGGCGAAGCCCCACGCGCACACGCTTGCCTTCAGCATAAAACAGGGGATATAGGTGCCAATCACACGAACAAACCGCAGGTACTGGAACACAGCCTCCACGGCCATCCAGCCGAACGCCGCCAGCACGAAGTAGTGCAGCAGCGCCGACAGACACACGCAGGCGACGGGATACTTGGTGGCGGCAAGTCCACCTAGGAAGCTGATGTACATGCCGGTCAGCGCCGCGCTGAGGTGCATCATGATTTGGTTGCCACGAGGACGACGCCACTTCTTGAACAGCACAAACGTGAGCATAGTGCACGCGAGACCGAGGAGCGAAAATGCGATGCCGACGTAGGTGAGGATGTCCAGCAGGCGATGCTGCATTTTGCTCAAGTAGGCGTTCCGCGTGTCGTTCAAGACCAGCGCGAAGCTGCCCAGGTGGCTGCACAAGCAGACGGTACTGCCGTCGCGTATCTCCTTCAGGCGGCAGCCGCGCGTTGACCACTCGGCGGCGTGGAAGTCCCAGAAGGCGCAGGCCGGGATGGGCGCGCAAGGCCCCACGTGACTGCGGAACTTGGTCAGAACCGTCCTCCAAGGAACGTTCTCCACCGACTTCCAAGGAGCGTCCTCCGCGTTCGCGTCCTGTATCAGCACGCTGACCACCTGACTGGCGATGCGCCGACCGGGCGAATGCAGTAGGCGCCCGTCACGAAACGTGAGGAAGGTGGCGTTAACAGTCCGCTGGCTGTCTATCAACACCAGCGCCGCCTCCTGGCCGAAGGACACGGACAGCTGGCTCGCATCTGTCATTGGCTGCACCGAGGAGCTCTGAATGTCCTGCGAGGATGAGGTGACGCCCCTAAAGGCGCCAGCCCGCACTGCCACGTTCTTGCGCGTCACAAAGGGCAGGTTCAAGCTAGACGATATGCTAAGGATGTCCTCTAGCGCACGCACAATGCGCGGTCCCGCACCCACCAGCTTGGTGGCTTTCTTCAGCGTCCTTTTGTCTGCGTTCATGATGTGATCGACCACCGTGACGACCGTAATCTGCAGGCCCCTCGCGGCGACGGCTGTGGCGGGCGGCTGGAACACCAGCTCTCGCTTCGCGTTTTCCAGCGTCACCGCCACCGAGACGACGTCCTGTGCGACCAGTCGCGCCGGCGCGCGCAGCAGCCACGCCAGCTGGCCGACCGTGCTCCCCACGTTCTTGGCGTTGACTTCGGTCCGCCCCAGCTTGTGCAGAGCGATGGAGGTGCTGGAGACGGCGGCGCAGGCGGCGTCCTCCGGCGTCACCGGGCCCCACGCGACGCCCGCGAGCGGGTCGCCCAGGCAGTAGCGCAAGACCGGATGGCCGTCCTCGTCCGTGCACAGCTCGAGCGAGGTGGCTGCTGGGTCCCCGGTGCAGGTCCGCTGCCATGTCAGTCGCTCTGGCCGCTCGGTGCGCTGCCACGGACAGCAGCGTGCCTGCTTCAGCGATACCAGCTGAGCTCCGAAACTGTTCCGCATTACCTGAGCTCCGTATTCTTCACTGTTCCCCGTCTTGTCCTCTTCACTGTTCCCCGTCTCGTTCTCCCGGAACGCCGGACTGTTGCCGGCAGGGTCAACAGAGTGCTGTTGCCGATTGTCCACGGACAGCACCCTGGTCAGGGTGGCCAGGTAATGTTCTGTCGTGATGCCGTCGCCCGAGCGCGTCGCGCGCAAAGGCCTCAGCCGTACCGAATAAATCTCTGAGTTACCCGTCCAGCTTTGTGGCATGCTAAAACACGGACAAACCCCTTGGCAGAACGTGGGGTCGCACTCCTTCTGAAACTGCAATCTGGTCCTGTTTTGTGTCCCCACGGGTCGTAAGCCGACAAGAAACTCCTCAACACCGGGATCGTGGTTGGACCTGCCTGTTCGCTCAGTTAGCAGCAGCGCATTGGATAATATGTACCCGTGAGGTTCCATGGCGTACGCCCCACAGATGAGATAGCCAAAGTCGACGAGGAGCTGCACCTTCACGAATGTTCCTGGCGGATCCTCGCTTTTCACCGCACTCAACTCAACTACTCGATAGCCCATTTCGGAGCTTTGGCTAGTGGAAACGAAACACTCGAAAAATGCATTCGGATCGCTCTGGTTCGCGCTGAATTGACGGGGATTTAAGAGAACCTTGTCCGGATTCGTGACGTTCATAAAAATAAAAGGCCTTTTCAACGCACCAGCGCCGAATGCGCGGCCCTCATTAAATAAATGCAGCTTTGGTGCATCCAGGCTAGCTGTTTGCTCACAAACAGCGCCGTCTACAGTAAACTCTTCAGCGCTTATGAGGCTGTACTGGCCCTCGGAAGCGTCCATGATTGCGCGGTCGTCATGACGACGCGCAGAAAGCGATGGTGACAGCGCAGGATAACTCAGTGGCGTTGCATCACCCCACCGCAGCTCGTCCTGTCGCACCAGGTTCACCGCCAGTTTCAGGCGTTTTGGTAGGAAGAGCGACCTTATTAAAGACCGGACTGTGTCTCGATACACTCGTGATGTCACGCTAGCTAGAGAAGAGTTGGTTTCCGCGCACCGAACCGCTGCCAATGCCCAAGAGACGGGGGAGTCCGAGAGGACGACGGACACGTCGCGGTTTATGGTCGGTGCATGCATGCTGTGCGATGGACGCTCATTGAGAGGAGTCCACAGCACGGTGGCCGTCTCGAGATGGCTGTACAGCGCCGCTCTGACCACGCAGAGCACTGTGTGCACCTCACTGCAGTCAACGCTGCGGAGAACCAGGTCCGGCGTCAGAATCACGCAGTCGAGGTTCCCATCTAGGTCCAGGTCCACCTGAGTTCCCAAGATCGCCTCATTCGAAGGCAAGCGAAGTGGCCAGAGCGGTCCTTCTTGCCACAGTCTGTGCGATGACAGCCAGACCGGCCGGTCACCGACGAGTTTCTGCAGTTCGGCTGGCTGCGTCCAGGGCAGGTGGTGCGGCTCGATCTCGAACGCCTTCGGATGTCTAGAGCGGCACTCAGCTTTGCGTCTCGCGTGAGTGGCGTTCAAGCGAAGCATGCAGAGCGGGCCTGGGACTGAACCCCGCCAATTCTGCGCGAAGACCGCGTCGTTTTGCAAAAACCCCGCAGGGCACACGGCTGGTGGCGGTCCGCAGGCGGGCAGCTCGGAGTCGCAGGCTCCCGCGGCGCAGAAGGCGCCCCAGGTGGCGCCTCCGTCCAGACTGGGGATGCAGCGTCTCTCCACACGCGCCACGCCGTCAGCCGCCACACACTCTGGATCTGATGGGACGAATGACGATGTCGCCACGGTCTTCCACCGGTAGCGTGTCACTTCACCATCAGCGGTCCGAGTCCCAGAGGCACTCTCGGCCTGGCAGCGGAAGGCCATCGGAATAGAGGGCATGCTCACCTGAAAGACGAAAGCAAAAGGTCACCCGATGTGCAAATCCAGCATGAATGCACATTGTGTGCTCCTGCTAGGCCAAAATTTTTTGGCAGGATAAATTTTCCGAAGAAACTGTTATCTCAAATTATCTGACCCTCTGCCAATAATTGTTGTTAGCTCTTTGCATTCTGGCTTCAAATAAATCATCAGACTTGGTGAAAGTCAGAAAAAGCATTTACAAAGCTCCCATTGCTTTCCAGAGGCAGCCGAGGTGCACAGCCGTCCCCCGCCCCTCACCTCACAGGGCCGTACAGCCGCTCACCCCCGCAGAACCATTCAGCCCTCCCACCCCGCCGAACCTTACAGCCCCACCCCGTAGAGCTGTACAGCCCGCCCGTCCCCGCCGAGTTGTACAGCCCTCCCCCCCCCCCGCAGAGCTGTACAGCCCACCCGTCCCAGCCGAGTTGTACAGCCCCCCCCCCCCCCCGCAGAGCTGCACAGCCACCCGAGCAGAGCTGTACAGCCCGTCCATCCCCGTCGAGCTGTACAGCCCGCCCGTCCCCGCCGAGTTGTACAGCCCCCCCCCCCCCCCTCCCGCAGAGCTGCACAGCCACAACAGCAGAGCTGTAAAGCTCGTCCATCCCCGTTGAGCTGTACAGCCCGCCCGCCCCCGCCGAGCTGTACGGCCCCTCCCCCCGCAGAGCTTTACAGCCCACCCACCCCAGGCGAGTTGTACAGTCCCCCCCCCCCCCGCAGAGCTGTACAGCCACCCGAGCAGAGCTGTAAAGCCCGTCCATCCCCGTCGAGCTGTACAACCTTCCCCCACCTTCCACGCAGATATTTACTTACATTGAACACATCCACGAGTAGCGTCACAGTCACGTCCAGGGCCGTCTCCGACGCGTGCTGGGTTGCTTCTTTGCGGCTGGTTGATGGATCGAAGAAGTCGTAGACGGCCAGGTACCGCAGATCAGCGCTGCTGGCTTCGCGGGCACGCTTGGCCAACCGCCTGAGCTCTGTTTCGAAGTCCCGTCCGGCCAACTCGCGATTAAGATCTGCCTCTCCCTGGCGTTGGGAGCCCCTTTTGTTATCGTCACCACCGGACAGCAAAGCCTGTAGCAAGTTCACGACGTGGGCGCGGCTGCCCACCAGCACATGCATGTTCTTCGACGTCGTGACGAAGAGTCTTTTGCTGATGACTGCGTCCACAGCCCCACTGACGTACCGCTGACACCAGAAGGCCCCAACACCGAGCGTGCTGGGCCCAGCCGGAGGCATCAGCTGCCTCAGCACGGTGAAGTTCCCTCGCCACCAGCTGGTCTGGTACTCAGACCTGCCGAGAACGAAGTGATCCTTGACAACGCTGTCTCCGTCACCGCAGCGTAACGTCAGCCCTGGATGCGCCAACTGGTCCGGATTGGAGACCTGCAGCACCGTGTCGATGCCGTCGTTATCGTCGGTGCTCTCGACCGCGGCTCCGTCACGGAGAACCGTCAGCAACGGCCGGTAGCCGGCCGGCCTCGTCTCCGCCACCGTGGCTCTGTCGGCGAAGCAGACGACCCTCAGGTGAGACGAGCACTGCGCCCACCCCAGCCGGAACTCCGTCCCGTTCAGCGCCACTCTCCTGCACAGCTGCGAAGGGTCCACTCCGGCGCGCGCTTCGATCCTGCTGTACGCTGCCTGATCTGGAAAGGTGCCAGGGTAGCATCTTAGCTGGTGAGAGCTTAGTACTTTTGCCAGTCGCTACGCCCCTCGCTCGTCTTTTGCGCCGCTTGGTGGAATGAAAAGAACAACTCACAAAAAGTTACCTCAGAGCACCGCAATACCTAGTGTGCCGTGACTGGTGTTGACTACAATGCTGCAATCGTCGCGGCGCATGCGGGGAGATGAACGTGGACTTTGCACGCCGATGCTTAAGTGAAGCTGGCAAATGAGACATGTGACCGGGTGCAAGGCATGGACGATCTCGCTCGCGCCCGGAGCTGTCCGATAATTACCTTGCGGGGGGAAGACCCAGTGGTAGTAGCCGTTCCGGAGGTACTTGGCGCCGACCCAGAAGTCGCCTTGCCGATACAGCTCATGACGCTGCAGGTCAGCCATCACCGTCTCGGCGACGTCCTCGGATGTGATGAGAAACGTGTCCCGTCGCCGGCAGCTCTCGTGCGCCTGCTGCCACGTCGCCTCCTTGTCCAGGAAGCGCACCGCGCCATCGTTAGTGATGCAGACCACTTCGTCACCCTCCTCCCGACAGGCGTGCTCTTGCGCCACTGCCATGTGCAGCATCGCCAGCAGCAGGACAGTCAGCATGGTCGCTGTCATGCTGCCGCAACTCTGTCTCCTGCTCCAGCTCTCTCCGACCGGAACTCCGGATCTAACTTTTGGCGAAAACCGGCGGGGATGAGTCGCCTCAGCCTGGCGAACAGCGAAAACAATGATAGTTCCCGTTATGAAGTCGAGACACAGACGGCATGTCATCTTTTGAAAGAATCTAAGTCATTCACTATTCGTTGCATGAATTTCGCATTTCATGCAAAATCTGTGAGAGGGAAGGTGGCGCTATAGAGAAAACGTGAAAAATGCCAATCTATGGGTATCGAGATGTTGTGCAAACGACCAACACAGCACCGTTGCGCGGGTTCTATCCTTTTGCATCTTGATGATGTTCGGTGCTTTACGGGATCTCTTGGTTGGTAAGATGGTGCTTTCCGGTGTTCCGTGTGCCGTTAAATTGTACCCTTACAGCAGAGTTTACACGACATGAATATGAGTCATACGTGCTGTGAATTAGGGGCATATAACATAGCTGGTTTCCTCCACTGCCCAAATGTAGCTGATATGACTACAGTTTAGCCACCTGAGATGGCTTGCTACGTAAGCTAAGTGTTGGTCTGTATTAACGCTTGAAGTACTCGCATTGTGGTTTCGATGAAAGGCTCCGCTGGATATTTTTCTTATATCAATTTGTTCAATTACATGCCATGTTTGACCGTTGCTGTCTAACGAGCGGGAGGTGGACTTTCCACGAGCTACATCTTCTTAGTAGTCTTAAAAGAGCCGTTTGACGTGTGACTTAAAAAATGCAGGAGAAACAAAGGATGCCAGTCAATATTCTTCGGGAATCGATCTTCCGTCTGTTGGGAGTCTTCCCACCAAGGATATACTTGTAAAACAAAGGAGCGTCTTTGATAGACTTGAGGTCGGCAAATACACGAGGAGCTGATCCGTTTTCTAGGTCCGTCGCGTTTATTACCTGGGAAATCCGCGCCAGGCTCGGGCCAAAAAACGCCTAACGAGGCTGCGCTGCCGAGCCAAACAATATGCGTGTCAGACTTCCGAGCAGCTGGTGGAACTGCTGTGGCTAGCCAAGAAAAAAGCATGCTTTGCAGCCAGGCTGCTTAAATCTTCTGCCGCTTGGCTTAACAAGCGCGCAGGTCGAGGGCAGGGGAAGGAAGAATTTGACCCTCCGCCCCGCAGTTTTTGTCCAGAATAACTTCCGAAAGACGCGGCGGCCCCCCACCAAATTTTGCAATTTGTTGTAAGTATCAGCTTTATATGGTTATAGACAATTGAAGCGCCGATCTTGTGGTGCTAAAAATTTGATATACCTTGTAGTATTACTGACCTACGAAGGTCAAAGTCAAGTGACGGTTGTCAGTGAAGGCAATTATAAGGGCACTGTTCAATTCGATGTGACAGTGGAGTGCTAGGCGAAGTCGTACAAATTTAAGATGGGTTCCCACACAGTTTGGCTATTAAATTTGGATTACAACTTATTATTTTTACATACTAAATTATATATATATATATATATATATATATATATATATATAAATATATCTATCTATATATCTATCTATCTATAATGAAATAAAAATAAAATATTATATATATATATATATATATATATATATTCATTGACCTTGGGTCAGGTATGAAGGACAGGTCAACGTCAAAACAAATCGTTGCGGCCGGCGCCACGAGCACTGGAACTCTGGGTCATGACGCTCCGGCGACGACATGGTGGTGGTGAACTCTGACGCCTCTCGCTGATGAAAGGTGCACTATGACGCCTCTCGCTGATGAAAGGTGCACTATGACGCCTCTCGCTGATAAAGGGTGCACTCTGACGCCTCTCGCCGACGAAGGGTGTACTATGACGCTTCTCGCTGATGAAAGGTGCACTCTGACGCCCCTCGCTGATGAGGGGTGCACTCTGGCGCCTCTCGCCGACGAAGGGATGACGCTTCTAGGGGATGACGCACTACGACGCTTCTCGCTGATGAAAGGTGCACTCTGACACCTCTCGCTGATGAAAGGTGCACTCTGACACCTCTCGTTGATGAAAGTCCTGAAGCATGACCGTACCGAGCGCAGAGCTAAGAATCGTGTTCATGATCATGCAACTAAAGCAAGAACAAAAAGTCTCGTGGTATATCAAAGTGGGGAAAAGTATTTCTATTTGCATAATCTAAGTCCTATCACCTGCTTGTTCCCGCTGAGCTTGGTGGCCGCTGCCGGAAAGCAGTCGATGTTAACATGCGCTTTTGCGGGGTTTAATAAGAGACCAGGGTTAGACAGGGTCAGATCAGAGACCAATCTTACAGGGTCAGATCAGAGACTGACCTGACACAGCTCGTCTTCATCAGCCCAGTCTGGGCCACCGGCGGGCTCGCTGGTCTCTGCACGTTCGTCGACAAATCGTGAGATGGCTCCTCCCCCTTTGTTTGTATCACTGTTGTAGATCCGTTGGCTCTCGCTCTCAACCGAAGAAAATAAGGAGCATCTCGGCTGCTTGTGATGGGGTCAGAGGTACGATACGGCGGGACATCACGTTTGCGCGTGTCAACGGATGTCGCCTCATGGCCTGGGGTGCCGCCCGCCATGTTCTCCAAATTACTAACAGCTTCCAACGAACACATCAGCTTGTTATTCTTGCCTCGCGACTGTTTATATGCGCCACCGATTTGTGCGCCGCTTCAGACGGCTCGGTCCTACCGCCAGCAAACCCGATACCCTTCACTGGCGCGTGGCCGATGACGTGAACGGAAAACTGTGTGCGAAGCTGATACGCTTACGGCGGCCGTTCGCGCACGGCCGCGGCCGAGCTGCACCCCGCCGGCCGCCAACGCCGGCGCGGCGGACATCCGGCCGCGGATGGCATGCGCTGCGGTGCATTTCAAGCCATGACTCGGTCGTGCTTGCAGATAAATGCGTGGAAGGAGATACGGCCACGCTTCATGTTTGTAAGTGGGACAAAGTTTTTCGTTGCGTCAAATGCTCAAGCGTATGATCAGACAATTCGAACGTGGATTTCATAAATGTTTTTGTTATTTGAGTGGCCAGTAGTTCAAAGAACAACGATGCAGCAATGCAAGGACATGGTACGTAAATGATGAAATGTTTCGCTCACATTTTCCGTTTGCAAACGTCAAATAGCTCCCTTTGCTTGGTCTCGACGTCAAGTTGTCTGTGTACATGCAAATACGCATGACAATTCGCAAATGGTCTACCTAAAAGAAGACACGAACAAAAATGAAGATGATTTATTCTAAGACCACTCCCACTTCTTCAGCGAAGCAGTTCAAGAGGATCTTATCCTTGAGCAAAGCGTGTTTATCGGGTCTTATTCCCGAGCGGTGTTTCTGTCGGGTGTCATTCGTGAACAAACATTTTTATCGGGCCTTATCCTTGAGCGAAGCATTTCTGTCGGGTCTTACTGCATCGCATGGCATGACTGGTCATACGAATGCACGTTTTATATAGTTGCCTCGAAAACACCTCTCCGAATAAGTCGCACTCCGCTTGCGGAAGAGTCAATGCTTTTGCCCCGGGGACCGCCTCAGATTCGGAGCATTATGCAGGGACATCGCGTAGCACATCATGTTCCCTCCAGCCAGACAATACCACGGAGGGCTCTGCGTGTCTTACTGTGTCCGGCGCAGCCGCAAAGGTTAGGGTGACCCCGTGTGGCCTGACGCCGGTTGACCTTCCTTCGAAAGACGGGCAGAATAACGCACTCAACCAAGAGCTCTCACCCAGCACCGCCGTATTGCAAGCCGAGCGACCTCTCATCGGACCACGGAACGCGCGGGCTTCGGCCTCTCATCGGACCACGGAACGCGCGGGCTTCGGCCTCTCATCGGACCACGGAACGCGCGGGCTTCGGCCTCTCATCGGACCACGAAGTGCGCGGGCTTCGACCTTCCATCGGACCACGGAACCCGCGGGCCTTAACCTTCCATCGGACCACAGAACGCGCGGACTTCGCCCCTCCATCGGACCACGAAGTGCGCGGGCTTCGACCTTCCATCGGACCGCGGAACGCGCGGGCCTTGGCCTTCCATCGGACCACGGAACCCGCGGGCCTTAACCTTCCATCGGACCACAGAACGCGCGGTCTTCGCCCTTCCATCGGACCACAGAACGCGCGGGCCTTAACCTTCCATCGGACCACAGAACGCGCGGGCTTCGCCCTTCCAACGGACCACAGAACGCGCGGGCTTCGCCCTTCCATCAGACCGCGGAACGCGCGGGCTTCACGCGCGTAACAGTGCCCGCGCCGCATCACTGCTGCTGGTCTCAGATATCAGAATTGTGCGTACAGAATCAATGGCGGGTGAAATGGTTATGGACCCACAAGATTGCCATAACCTAGCAAAACTCAGATAGTCAGACAGTTTTGGGCTTGCTTCTTGGATTGAGTAAATTTTGTATAAAGTATTCCTTCAGTTAAGGTCAAGCAAAATCCGATAGGTTTTAAAGAATCAAGGACACAACTTCAGTATACGGTCTCCTAAACCCGTGAATTCTTCCCCCCCCCCCCCCCCCTCCTTCCAGGGAGCGCCCTGCGCTCTTGGCCAAACTAAACACATTGAGGCTGTCCAGAGCACTTGCAGATCTAAACAACGTAGGAGCTGTGCATTAACTAAGGATTAATTGCTTCATTCATGCAGAGCCAGTGTGCCACGAACTCCTTGACATCGAGTTGAGAACCTCCGCCCTCCGGCGTCCTCAGCAAACAGTTCTTGGCTGGCTTGCTATAGGTGACGTCGATGTAGTACCCATCTCCCTTCTGAGATGCAGGTGGCGGCCAGCATCCGCTAACAACCGATGCCCCAGCACCCTCTACTAACCGATACCAAGCTCCACCATTCGTCTATTACTAGCTGCTGATGGCCGGCGATACGCCCAGCTTCTCTCGCAACTAAATGTCTCCCTCACCGTGGTAAGCAAGCATTTACAGCAGAATTGGATTTCTCAATGACAAACATATCAATTTGTGTCGTCACGAGCCAGCTGTTATGCTGTTATTATTGTTAACATAATAACATTACACAACAGCAATAATTTATACAACAATTTTGCCTAAAACGCAGTCATTTATACGTTATTTCGTGACTTAGCATGCACTT